GGGGGACGAGTTCGTGATATTTGTTAAATTTTCGAACTGTTGAAGTGAAATTGCTGTACTCGTTGGAACTTTTTTTATAACTCTAACTAATCTAAAAATTATTAGTTGTTAATAAGAATAAAATGACAAGCGAAACTATTTTATCATCGCTTCAAACAAAAAATTATTTAGTTCGAGCACAATAGAAAACCCAACTTTGCGCTTCTGCTAAAGCTGCTGCGTTGCGTTAAAAGTCAAAATTTGTGTGTTACATAGTGGACTGGTTTATAAGGAGTATTAGAAAGGTGTGTGTGATAAGAATTAAAGATTTTTTTTTCTATTTTTGTCGTCGTAATTAGTCACTTTGTCCTTACGTGCGACGGTCGATAATGAACTCTGATGTATATTTTACAATGGCAGTTAGGACAGTCATATTTAGACAGTGCGTTGCTGTTGTAGCGGCTACAACAGACAGTGCGTTCGTTAGGTACGGTAAGTTCGGTCAGTAGGGTTGCCTGCCTATACATACTAAAGGACTGGTGTCGGTGTTGCCGTGTTACCGTACTAGGACCTAATCCCACATTCGGCCCTCCTGACTTGTCATTCGGCTCGAATGATGGCACGCCCGGTTGTTCGGTTGCAGGCTCCCACTTCTTCATGTACTTCGCTATCGTTGTCGTAGCTCTCGGACCTTCGTGGTCCTCGACCTTCCGCACTTCGTATCTGTCATGCGTTAAAACTTTGATGATCTTATACGAACCCAGAAACTTTGGTTTCAGCTTGAGTCCGGTACCATATTGTGTGCTCTTAATGGCGACTAGCTAATGGACTCTGCACTTCACTACATCCTTCCGGTTCTTGTTGAAGGATCGACGATTCTCCTGCTGTATCCTGCAAATATTCTCTTGTGCCTCTTTTCGTACCTCCCTTTCGGTGTCCAAATCTCAGATGGTCGCATCCTCTATAAGCTGCTGTAATTCCGGAATAACGTTGATGCTTATCTTGACACCAGTTAAAAGTCTAAAAGGTGATATCTTCCTGCACCGAGGAGGCGTACTGTTGAGGGTCTGTTGGACTCGCTCGAGGTGCTTCTACCACTGACTCGGGTTCCCAGCACACAGTTTTCGTCAGCATTGGAACAATTATTTTATGTATACCTGCCCGTTGCCCCGAGAGACACCGGTGGCTATCAACAGGTGTTGTATCCCTTCCTGCTCCCAGTACTCTAAAAGCATGGGACGCCGAGCCGATTCGCTTGGAATTTCCAAATTTCGCCGCCTGCCACTTCAGCTGATTGATCGCACCCGCCGCTGCTGTACTCCTCGATGCATATAGCCACACAAACTTGGAGAAGGCGTCGACTACCACGAAAATATAGTTCCCAGAGGACGGTCATTCAGCTCTTCACGACTTTGTACGCTTTCCTCGGCAACTGCGGGATGTAGAAAGTCTTTTCAACGGCTTCCTGCGTTCTCTTCGGTGAGAAGTGGCCTTGGTTATAGAAGACTTTAATAATTTCTCCTCCATTGCCTCGGTCACGACGATTCCTTAAAGGGATCTTTGTGCAGCACTCCGTGTTTTACATGAAAATCCTCATACTCGTCCTTTTCGAGAATCTTCAAAACTGCTTTGATCCATGGGTCCATGAGCTGTGCTGGGCCTAGTCGGCGCTGTAACGAATCCTCCCGCATCAGGCAAAAAATTCGACTTAGTGCGTCTACGTGCTTCATTTTACTTCCGCTTCGGTGCTCAATTTCATACGCGAAATCCTGTAGGAATAACGCCCAACGAGAGACTCTTAGTCACTCAGTCGGTCACGCCTTTAAACTTCAGACCCAGCAAATAGACACGCCACTTCTTAACTGCTCCAACAATCGGCAGCACTTCCAGTTCATAGGTATGGTACTTCTCTTCGGTTTCCGTCGTTTTCTGGCTCATGTATTGTATGAGATGCAACTGTTGATCATCAACATCCTTTTGTAGAAGGACAGCTCCATAGCCATACATTGACGCGTCTGTGTGTACCTCTGTCATTGATTTGGGGTTATACAACCGCAATACTGGCGCCCTAACTAATGCTGCCTTCAACTGATGGAACGCCAAGAGCTGTTCCTCTTTTTTAGTAAACTTCACGTCGTTTCGCAGGAGATCCGAAAACGGTTTAGCGACCATTGCGTGCCAGAAATACGAAGTAAGGTCCTAAAAACGTTGCACAGCCTTTCGATCATGCCTTTGTTTTAGCCTCGGACGGCTTGATCGTACCACTTTGTATAATATAACCTGAAAATTCAACTTTCGTCTTAAGAAATTGACATTTCCGTCATTTGAACCGTAGGTTGTACTCTTCTGCCCTACTAATAACAGATTTCAGCTTTTCGACTCCCCTGTCGACATCCTTAGCGGGAACGATAAGGTCGTCCATATAAGCAACAACAGTTCAGTTTTGTATCGTGTCGCGGAAGACAGCAAAAGCAAATCGGGAAAATACAGCTGGCGAACTTGAAGTGCCGAAGGGGACGTACAAAAATTCATATTGAACGTTGGAAGTTACGAACGGGGTATATTTTCGCGAATTAGGATCAACCGGTACGTGGAAGAATCCATTCGAGAGATCAAGTGTGGTAAAGACGTTTGCCGCGTGTAACCTTTCGACTACGTCGTTTACTAATGGCATGGGAAAGTTGTCCCTTACAATTTTCTCATTCAGCCGTCGGTAATCACAGCACAGCCGTTTGCTTCCAACCTTTTTTCCAACTAGTACGATGGATGATGCTCCGCTGAATGATGAGCACTCCTACAGTCGGCTGCCCGATGTCCTGACTTGCTGCACCTGAAGCATTTGAATGATCCGTGACAGTCTTTGGCCAGATGCCACACTTATAGCACCTTTTACCTCCCTCTCTGCGTACACTAGGATTGACCGGAGCTCTGCTTCCGACGCTCTGTTGGTTCGAGTTGTTCGCTCGTTGGCGATTAGACCCTACCACCATCTCATACACGCGAATCTTCTCCTTGAGTTCCGCTATGGACATCGCTTGTTACAAATTAATTTTTTTTTGCCTGGAGTTTTCCCGATCTCCATTAAGGAATATTGATAAATATTCTCTCAGATCTTCATTACTGCGTTTGCGGCGATTCCTTAACATACGATGTACTTCTATCGATGAGATACTTTGGTCCCACACTCGGATCTCAGTGCTTGTATCAACGAGTTCCAATCTGTGACATCACGCTCCTTCGCGTATATAAATTTTCCAGTGAACTGCAATGGCATTTTGCTAAAAATCTTCTAGCCATTCCTCAATTTGCGGCGAACCCGACCACTAAATAACATCAACGAGTCTTCTATATCGCGTAATGTAAAAGGAGTACGGCTGTGTAAACTACTACGCATTACCGTCAGTGCTCGCGCCATCATCCTCGCTGTCAGCGTTCAGACCGAAATGGTCTAGGAGTCGGTCCTGTGAGGTAACTATCCGTCCTGTAGTGGCCAGTCCTAAATCTACTAATACCTGTTGTTGTTGTCGTTGTAACAGCATACAAATTCCCCAAAGAGTTTTGGGGAGTGTTGCTGGAGTGACAGTCCTTGGCCAGATATAAATCTGGGTCATTCCGGTTACGTAGACCCGACTGTCGTGGGAAGGTTCTACTAATTCCTGTTTCAGTCCGGCTACATTCAGTTCTAAAATTTCGTGTCTCTCCATTGTCAATCGTTTCCACTTATAAAATGCGTAGAATATCAAAGAACTTCAAAATGAATAGCAATTTAACAAAATTAATTACGACAATAATTTATCGATTTTTCGTATACTAATCTTATTAACCTGAGCCACCGTACATACGAGTACCTACTAATCTTTAGTTATCTAGTCTACAAAACTTTTTTTTTTCACAAATACATGGACCAAGCTTTATTTGCAATGGATTTTAAATCATCAAATTAAAACATGTACAGTTGTAGAACGCTTAAAATATTCTGCCCACTGTCGACAGCCTAACCATTCAAAACATATATCGCTCAAATTATTTCTGCTCTAACGTCTACATATGCATGTGGCCAAAAGAAAACATACGTATATCGTTAACAACAAATGACAACACTGGTTTACAGCAAAAATGTTCTATAGATGCCACTATCCAATTC